AAATAGAACGGTGGCGTCGAGTAGCCACCAAAGTGGCATCTCGGCAGGGTCGGTTTCCTTGGCGGCACCTCGACCACCATTGTGCTTCTTTAATCGTTCAAAAATATTAAGATGCTTTAAAAATAGGGTCAAATATTTAATCGTGTTTTTGCATTATTATTTGTTTTGTTTATTTAAAAGTACAATGGACAAATGAGTCTTTATACTCTCTCTGAAAGAAAAAATTGAAAAAAATAATAATCATGAACGACTTATGTTAATTTGAGAATAAGAATGTGATGAAAAAAGTTCAAGACATAAATGTAATAATGTGTATAGTTAATGAACATTTCATGTAATTATAATATATTCTAATTATTAAAAAATAGGCATGGCCATTTTAATCGAAATCGAATCGGAATAGAAATTCCAAAAAAATAAAAAATTAATTAGGAACAGGAATCGAAAACCAACTGGGTTCAAGTCAATTCTTGTTTTCTGAAAAAGAATCATGGGTATACAAATGGAACCAATTTTTTATTTAAAATTTATGGGCTAGATTAAAAAAGATACAAGCTTAAAAACCTTCATTTGAGTAGTAATTTGTTTAAAACTCTAGAATCTAACCTTAAGAAATCAAAATTATCTCATACTTTTTGCCTATCATCTCACATCGAATTGTTGCATTTCACAAGTTAGTACATATTAATCTTTGCAATTTGGAATTTCTACGAATCAAAAAGTTTAGGCCTTAGGGTAGGTTGTGCTGTAAGTTGATGAATTAAAGTGTTCATTCTTTGTAATTAGAGCTTTTTACATTATTGTATTGTTTACAAACTTGCATAAATTTTTAATTTTTTTAATAACGCGTAGCAATTGAGCTCGATATATTTATAGCTTGGGATGTTATGTATCTTTTTTTGTTATCTTGAGTTCATGGTTCTTTTTTGAAATATAATTTTTCATTTTTTATTCAAAAAGGGCGAGTTCAATATATGGACTGTAATTTTTTGATAATATATAATTATATATATATCTAATTAGTATTTTTTATGTCACTTCGTTTTAAGAATATAAGAATTTAAATATTATCCATAATTTAATTGTAGGCTCTAACATGGTTCACTTGTGAATCGAATCAGATTTATTAAGAAAAATAACTACTCAAAATTGAAATTTAATTTTTGACATTTTAATTTTCTCATCTTTCCATGATTTTTAATCTCCACTATTAGGCTTCTTGGAGATTTCTTAACTAAATTTTCTCTATTGCACAAATATTATAGTGTAGTAGCGGGTTAGATATTATATGGATATTATATGGAAAGGGTCTACATAGAAATCACTACAACAAAAAACACTTTTTACGGCGTGCATTGCACGCCATAAAAACCAATTTACGGCGTGCGGCCGCACGCCATATAAAGTAATGCCGTAAAAAATATTTACCTTTTACGGCGTGCACATGTACGCCGTAAAAAGTCACATTTTACCTTTTACGGCGTGCATGTGCAGGCCGTAAAAAGTCGTTTATTACTTTTTACGGCGTGCAAATTTTTAAAAAAATTGTTCATTTATTTAACATGCCACGATTCAAAAACAAGAGATTTGGCCATCAAACTGGCCAACTTGCCTATATCCACATGAGAAGGAGAAAAGATCCACTAATAAACTTCTAAGTACCCGAACTTTCATTACTCTTCGCCAATTATTTTCCTTATCGAGTCTTCCCTTCTCTTACTATGCCCAGCAAGACTCCATCAAAGATATCAGTATTGGAGACGTGTTTGGAGAGTTTGCAAGCCTCCTATTCTGAAAGGCAACTGCTCCAACTACCTGAAAGATTGAAAGGATCGTGCTATTGTCATTAAAGTATACTAGTGGGGTGCACGTGCCGTAGTTGAAACCACATTGAAAAATACAGGTGTCACCACATTTATAAGGACTAAAAAAAGACAAATATAGAAAATCAGAACTATATAGATGAAGAGTAAGAAAGCTTACCATTGAAACCAAGCAATGTTTATTTTTTGGATGAATACTCCGATAAAGGACACATATCAATCTCAGTTGACAAGGCTGTTAATGTTGATGTTCTGTCTTCTACATTGTCACAAGTTCTCTGCCAACCCAGAACTACAAAACATGAAAAATGTGATACATTATCGGCTCGCAAGAATGAAATGCTTGCTGGCATTTTAATAGGCTTGAAAGAAGATGGGAAAGAATATTCTATAACATCACAAAGAGTTTTTTTCAAGAAAATAGACATTTCCAGTTATTTCCTTGATTGAAACCTGTCGAGTACAAAGACGAGGGACAAGTTGGGTATCAAAGAGGGAGAGGGGACACACTTCATTGTGCCATTCATTGGGCAAAGGGAGTAGAGAATATGAAAACAAACTTAATTACTTAGTGAATAAATTTTAATATGCATTATGTTCCTTGTGCATTTCATTTAACATCAGCATTTGTGAAGAACAAACATAGTAGAAGACAGAACATAATAAGCCATGATACAATGTCGATGAGTGTAGTAATAATACAAACCTTTTTAGCGAAACCAAGCATATTAATAGTAACTTTGTCAAGACTTAAGCCATGATCTTCACTTATAACCTGCATAAATTGCCATCAGTTGCTGCTAAAACAAAGCTTCAAGAGTTCATTAGCTCTACCTAATACAAAATGTTACAGAGATTGCCATGATTTAGAGGAGGAAGATGCACACCTCTTTGGCAATTCCTTCGTCATTGAAATTTGTCCCTTGTCTTTAATTAATTATGGTCACGGAGAAGAGTTCATTAGCTCTACCTAATCCACTGCCCAAAAACACCAATTAGTGCGTTGTCTCTTCATAGCAGGAATTATGCACAAAACAAAAGTATATAATAATTAGCTTCAGTTTGTGTAACAATCAGATCATTGATTTATAAAATCTCACTGAAATCTGCTAAGATTATTAATTTATCATCATAAGCCAATAGATTACCATTACAAACCCATCTAAAAAATCTACAAATATGATGTAATCATACAAAAAATCGATATTTTAAAAGATACTACGCGAAAAATATAAGGAATCGAACATACGTATTTATGCTCAGACAGCCAAGGGTTAGTCTTCAACTTCTGGGGCTTGAGACCCAGATCGGAAACTCTTGTCCAAAAATTTGCGTCATCACAGCAGCGAAACGCTAATTATAGATAAAATACAAAAGAAAATTGAGGATTTGTTTGGATAAGGTAAAGAAAATTAAGGATATAACAGCGAAAATCAACATACCGCACAGGCAATGCGGAAACATGAAGGCTGCAACCTAAGCGATGGGAAGCTCTTCCCACTGAAAGAAAGTGAAACCTTCTTCAAATTTCAGACCTAGACGACAAAAATTACAAGATTTCTGAAACCTAGACGAAAAAAATTTGCAGAAGAACTCAGTTGGAGCCGCCCCACTCTCTAGAATCCCTACTGTGCGTCCAGCAGCCAGGGTTTCAATAAAATTACGAGGGTTAATAAAATTGGGGAATGAAAACGCAAATAAAAGGAGAGGCATTTACGGCATGCATATTTGGAGAGGCATTTACGGCGTCCATTTGCACGCCGTAAAAAGTCAATTTTTTTCACTATTTACGGCGTGCACTAAAAGCACGCCGTAAATACTGATCAATACGGCGTGCAAAAAATGCATGCCGTAAATACTTTAAAACATTGATTTTTAACGGCTTACATATATCGCACGCCGTAAATAGTCTGTTTTTACGGCATGCCGTAGATGCACGCCGTAAATGAACGCCGTAAAAGGCTGTTTTTGTTGTAGTGTTTGAAATGCATAGGTAGTCAATTCAGTGGTAATTGGGTGAAGTGGTTACCTATTTCGGAATATTGGTACAACATTAATTTCCATTCAACCTTGGAAATGACTCCATTCCAAGTTTAATATGGAATTGCGCCTTCATTACACATCCCATATTTTCCTAGAGATTCTCCGAATGCAGCAGTTGATTGCCTATTACGGGAAAAAGAAGACCTAATACATGTGTGCAAAGCTCAACTTCATCGTGCTCATCACAGAATGAAGCAACAAGCAGATCAACACAGATCTGATAGGACATTTCAAATTAGTGACTGGGTTTATATCAAAATACAGCCTTACAGGCAATCATCAGTCGCTCGTAAACCAGTCTAAAAGTTTTCAGCTAAGTTCTTTGGTCCTTATAAGGTAGTTGATAAAATTGGTAAAGTGGCATACCAATTAGAGCTACCTTCAGCAGCAAAAATTCAAAATGTTTTTCATGTCTCTCAACTTAGAAAAGCTTATGGTTTATCATTCCAACACATTCCTTTACCTAACATTTTAGGCAAAGACACAATTGTTAAACCAGTTGCCATTCTGGAGCGTAAACTTGTGAAAAGGGGTAATGTGGCTGCAGCGAAGTTGTTAATCCATTGGAGCAATTCTTCTCCAGCTGATGCTTCGTGGGAATTTGCTTCTGAAATAAGACAACGCTTTCCCGAGTTCTCCTTTGAGGACAAGGGTTCTTGAGGGGGTAGCTGTTATGAAGTAATTGGGAGATGAAGAATGACCGATTAGTGTGGCTGATTGAAGTGTAATTCTGTTACTAACAGATGTAGTTGTTATTTTGTTAATTCTGTTGTAACCATTAGGACATGATTGTTGGCGCCAAGTAGAGAGTTAGCGGGAGAATTGCAAATAAAGGCTATTTTGTAACCTGATGAAAGGCATTCGTGAAGTGGAATACAATTCTCTGAATTTCCCTCTCTATATTTCTTCCTCCTCTTCCCTTTTCATTCTGAAATTCTATCTTTTGTAAAACTTCATAATGCATTCACGTTGCTTGCCAGTCAAAGAAAAATTCAAGGAATTAAAGAGTGCCTCTTTCACATGAAATAAATTGGTTGATCTTTGCGATTTGAATATATAAGAACTGACAATTCTTTCTTAACTGCAAATACCGGTGTTATACTTCAAAATGATACTCATTGTCTAGCTGGAATTATGCTTCTTTCTTTGATTCCTTATATTATTGTGCAACTAGTTGATATTTTCAACACATCCCACATAGTGCTTTTGATAGCGTTAATAGTGTCTGTCGCATATTTACTTTTGAATTTTATCTATCAGGTATTATGGTTAAAAGCTAACCTTGTATTGCTCGCAATTTAATGTACAATATTGCTAATTTTCTTCTCTCTTTTTATAGATTGTGGATCCTTGGATGCAGATATTAAGTTCAGATTACTTGCAGTATGAGATTCTAAGAAACGCATTTTTGCAACATGTTGAAAGGCGGGGAAAACTTGTTGATGATGATAGGAATCCTATCTCTGCTCTCATCAAAATGTAATTTTTTGAAATATTACATGTAGATTTGCTAGTCATGTCCAATGAGGGCTCTCATTTTATATTTCTGTTTGCAGTGTATTTGATGAGACAGACAGAGATGGAGACAAATATATAATAAGGCTTGAATTGGAAAAGTTGTTCAATAAAATCTTGCTAGAGATGTCGGACGATGCCATAAAAAAAAAAGTTGTCGCTGAAACAGTGGAAGTATTTGATTCCGACAATGACAATAAAATCAATGAATCTGAATTCGCTGAAGCATGCGTAAAGTTAGCTGAAAGCACTGATTTCATTTCAAGAGAACTTTCAGACAAAGCAAGCTTCCTAATTCATGAAATTTTAAAACTATTGATACTAATGTAAGTTTAATTTGCAAGATGTTGCTTCTATAAATTTATTCAGACTCCTATCATATACTTGTAACTTCTTTTTCTAGTATAGGATGAAACAAAAATATCCAAACTTCCTATCAAGTGTAATATGCATCAATAGTAGTTTTTGAAAGTAATTATAAATATATTCCTTATTTGGGTTGATCTGCTGCAGGACTTTCAACAGTTTAGTCCGATGGAGAGATAAAATAATGTCGAAATTCTAAAGCACACTGAAAGACAACTACTTAAAGGAGAATCGCTTATCATGGAAGATGGAAAACCGAACATTGAAAAAATTAACAAGTAATTGATCATAAATATTTTCCTGTTTGTTTTCTCGGTTTTACAGAAATTCCTCACAATCTTCTTTTTGTTCTGGCAGCATCTTCAGACAGTACGACACCGACAATAACAACAAGATATCAAGAAATGAATTAGGGCAAATAATCAGTAAAGTCCAATTCGGAAACTTGAAGCCGGAGGATGTGGACCATGTGGTTAATATATTCTTTTACCATTTCGATACAGATCGTAATAATACGATTGATAAAGAAGAATTTGTCCATGTACTAGAAAGATGGCTTGATGAAGCCAGTCTTGTTGCTAAATGCTCTGATAAGACTAAAAGTGTGGATGAATTTGACAAGGTGAGAAGTAAATTATTTAACTTCCTACAGATGTTTTTTGTTACACTTCGTACAATTTACTGATCTCATTGCAAATTAAGTAATCCATTCTTCCTTTTTCCTCCCTTAACTTGCAGATTGTACGGGAAAAAGTCGTTCCTGGATACTCTTTCCTGGATATTGTAAAATGTATTCTTAAAATAGTGTTGGGTATTGTTATATTGACCTTTGTTGGAGGACCTCTCACGACTAGCATCCTACAGTTATCATATGCCATGAGGGTGCCTTCTTTCTCTATCTCATTTGTGATAGTGCCATTGGCAATGAATACAAGAACCTTAATAGAAGCTATCTTTCCAGTCAGTAAAAAGACCGAAAGAACGGCATCTTTAACATTCTCTGAGGTCCCTTTCTCTCTCACAAATAAACACGAGCACTCAAGCATGCGCACACGTACACATTATAGTAGAGCATTGACAAAGAATTGTGAAGGACTCGCTGGTGAAACATTTTTCATTTGACTTGCAGATTTATAGTGGAGTTGTAATGAACAACCTCTCGGGTTTGACAACACTGTTAGCAGTTGTATATGCGAAGGACTTGCCATGGGATTATTC